GTTCACCAGTCCGCACTCCATGTCGTATACCATTGAGCTATCATGTGACACTGACAACGCTGTTTTCATATGTTTATTTAAAAGAAGAAGTGAATTTGAAGAGCGAAATTACGAAATGTTTTGCCTACTGGCAACAACTGGAGTCGAACTTTGTTCACCAGTGAGGTCTACTTGTCGTATACCATTGGACTATCGTGTGACGGTGGCAAGACCGGCTTCTGCATGTATATTTAAAAGAGGAGGTAAATGTGTGAAATCGAAACTATAGTTGGGTTCGAACCCTAGTTCACTGTTCGGAACTCCCTGTATTATACCACTGGACTATAGTTCGACAGTGGCATCTGTCCCCAGTAGGTGTCTGTATTGTGATCAGATTGTACCGTTCAACTTGGATAGCCTGGATAGCTCTATAAATATAACCACCCGAAATGTGACATCGTTGATCTGGCGTGGTCAAATGGATAAAGACATGACGTTCGAATCTTGCTAAATTTACAAATCATTCCCATGGTGGGGGTCGAACTCGCTTCGCCTGATTACTACACAATGTCTTTTACCATTAGGCTATTCTGACGGGAAAATTTCAGAAAAAATTAGTTATTGGTACTAAAACGGTTAACGTCGCCCCCTAGAAAGCTGTCAGCGGCACTCAAACCTAACCCATCAGCCCTCAACACGCCAGTTTCTCCTCCCGCTCCCTTCATCACGCCATCCTGAGGTCAGGAGAGGGAGTTTGCAATGCCAACTTGATTTGAAATTGAAGACGAGTATCACAAAGAGACTGTGTGGTTTGTTACTTTGCTTTACTTTATTGGCGACTGTGAATCCAGGGTGAATAAAAAAAAAAACAAACACGTTTCTTGTCTGTTTCAGTCACAAATAAAACATCCATACACACACTTCCATTTTTTTTTTCTTATATACTTTTCTGAAGGCCAGTGTTTGGAAGAACAAAATCTTTATGAAATTCCATGAACCATCTGAACGAGAAAGCTGCCCCCTGGGACAGCCGGAGCTGGAATTGAACCCTGCGCCACTGCAATGGGAATCTGTCGCGCTCAGCAGTCTGGCACAGCTCCCCACCCACCCCAAGTGCCCCCCTCATTGTTCCTATTATTATGAAAACCTGATGTGCTTGGGGGGGGGAGACACAATCCAGAACAAGCTTGCAGGCGTGATTGCTTCCAAAGTGATTTAATTGGCATGAAGTGACAGAGAGTCGCAATTGCTGCATCCAAAGACGCTCAAGTGCTCACGAGGAGTAAAAAGTGCCGATGACCCGAAAGACGTCGGACGTGCCCTGGTAGGGCGTGATGACCGGTCGCAGGCCTTTCATGCTCTTGTAGTGTCCGAAGTGTTTGATCCTGTAGGACGCCGCGGCGGCGTTTGTCGGGATGTGCCACTCCACCGTGGCGTTGCTCTGCCGATCGGAGCCTTTCAGCCAGCTGAACCTGCATGGGGGTGCAAGCAAAAGGACATCGTGGAAAGGACGACAAGCGACAAACATTTGCTCGTGTGCTCACTCACCGAATATAAGTCCGCGCGGTCGGTCGCAATCTTGCTGCAGCTGTGCACCGCGCTTCATCAATTCCGTCGCGCACACCTGACTCCAATTCATTTGCTAGCGTGACGTCAGGTTGGCCAATCAACTTTCTTCTTCGGCTGCCTGTTCAACGGCGTTTTGCGCACGAGCGCCACTCGTTGACCCGCCGGGGTGACTGCTTTGGCTCACCCCGGAAATTGCTTGACTTTCGGCCCCAAAAGGGATTAACATGGCGTCAAATACGACTTTTTTCTCACCTTCGACAGCCTCCGCTCGTCCTCGTCCACAAGATCATGGAAAACAACAAATTTTCTCGTGATGGGTCCATGAGGCGTGTTGACACATTGGATACACGTTGTCATCAAATCAGTCCGTTCAATCTGTCAAGCGGGTTGCCTGCAGGGATTTTGAAAGTCCAGCAGGTGTCACCGACACGGGATCCACACAGTGCGTCATTATCTTGGAAATCATGCAGGACAGCGGTCCTCCAGGACCGGAGTTTTGACACCTGTGTAAAAAGTGTCGCCCGATTGCCATATCATATTTCATCTGAACTGTGATGCTGTAGGGCGGTTACCGTTTGGACCTCTGACCTTGTCAAGAACATCCGTTTCGGCAGTTTACCCCTAAAAAAGCTTTCTTCATTTCATGACTTGAAAATGATTTTACATCAAAAAAAAAAAAAAAAAATCAAGAATTAATTGAGTTTATTTGTGACCTCCCCCCCTCCCCCATGAAGTCGGAGCGTCGTGCCAAACACTTCAGACTTTCGATAAAAGAGCAAAATGTGTCCTCTGTTTATTTCACCAACCCTCTTTCATTCCTTTTCTTTCTTTTCTTTCCTCTGGCGCTCCTTGCTTGCTTGCTTCTCTCGCTTGTCTCGCTCCTTCTTTTCCTTCTTGGCTCGCTTTTCCCGCTCCTTGCTTTCCTTCTTCTCTTTGGCCCGACGCTCCTTCTCTTCTCTCCTTTCTTTCTCCCCAACTTGACCTTGTTCCGCCTGGTCCATCATCTCATTTTGGTCGGCCGTGTCGTCGGCGCTCTTTAGAGACCTCTGCCAAAACAAGACGGCGCACCTGCATTTTTCAGTTCAATGTGTTCTTCGCAGAGGATAAAGAATAGATGTGTTGTCTTATGAGGTGTTGCTCAACTGCTTGTGCCCAAATGTGTGTCGCTCCTGAAATCGTGGCTATCGATGCTAATGGTCAGCCACGTCACTGGTATTTCGCATTGTTTGTTAGCATGAAGCTAAGTCGACTTTTCGAAAGCAAAGCTATGTTTTTGCTGCAAAAATGTGACACTTGAGTCGAGCGCAGGTGAGGACCTGACCATGAAGCGGGCGTTCTGTCCCACGAAGCCCTTGACGAGACTCTTGACGTTGTCGACGCGTTGGAGGAGCCGCTGCTGCCGGCGGAGGGCCTCCATCCTGGCCTGGGCGCCCGCCTCGCGCTCGGCCTCCAGACGCTGGCGCAGTTCGTCGGCGCAGGCCCTCCAGCACGCGCTCTCCTGCCGCTCCTGCCGCAGCTGGCGGCCGACGGAGACCAGCAGCTGCTGCAGCTGCTGTTTCTGCTCCTCCTTCTCCTCCAGCCTGGACTTGAGCAGCAGCAGGACGTCTTTGACGTTGCCCATCAGCGCCGTCTTCTCCTCCAAGCTGGCCAGCACGCCGGCGTTGAGCTCCTTCTGCTGGCTCAGCTGCAGCTCCTTCTCCTGCACCTTCCCGAAGGAAAGCCGCACAGTCGGGTCAGTTCTGCTCACATGTGATCATTGTGCAACGTTCACTTTTTCAAATTGTCCAACCGGTTTCTATGTGGTTTTGTACCTTCACTCACGCATTGCAAGTTATTTGAATACGCAAGAAGTAGAATTCTGAAACGTGGGAGGCGTGAAACCGTCTGCATGCGTTTCCACCAGGGGAAGAAAACCGCCCCCATGTTTTGCTATTTTAGGTTTACCAAACTCCGGATTTAATGTGACAGCGAATAAGTGTCTCGTCCACTCCGAAAGCCAATTTGTGAGGAAGCTGTCAAAGTTCGTTCAGACGTAAGAGTCTGGTCCGCGTGTTTCCAAAGTTGTCAGATGTACAGTTGACAAGTGCATGCTCACGTGCCTACAAGGCGGCCATGTTGGCAGGGGCGAGTTTCCCACCAAAGGCCAAGCATGGAAATATGAGGCAGCCGTGTTGCCACCGGACGGTAAAAAGCACGGATGTTAGCTTAGCATCGGAAAGTTGTCTCCTATTCATGTTTTTGTACTCAGGTCGCAAAAGTGGGACCAGTCATGGGATGAACAGAAGAGCACGCACTAAACCGTGCCGGGTCTTTTTCAGCACCTTCTGCTCCATCACGGCCTTGACGCCGCGCAGTTCTCGGTCGCAGTCGTCCACGGTGCGGTCCAGATGCCACTCCATGTTGTCCCAGTGCTCCTCCACGTGCAGCCGTACGCTCTCCCTCATTGCCTGGAGGTCCTGAGAAATTTCGTCTTCGCGCCGCGCCCACCGCCGGCTCCAATCGTCTTCGACGGCCTTCAGCGCCGCCTTGGCGGCCGCGTCCCGGACCCGCCGGAACTCGGCAAACTGCTCCATCCAGAAGGAACGCACCCGATCCAGATCGAGGCGGTGGGCCGCGAGCGTCTCCCGGAGCATCTGCCGGACTTGCCGCCCGGTCCAGCTCGTCTCGTCATCCTCAAATTCGGGCGGCTCGCAGCTGGACTCCATTCTGGGGTAGTCACGCGAGCACGTCAAGAATGCGCTTGTCGTATTTACGCGGTAGTCATGCACCAAATGACTGATTGGACGTTCCCTTGCGGAGTCACATGCGCGCTCTACGCACACAGCACACTGACATACATGTTGTGTTCATGCACTATAGATGATAAAGTACAATGAAGTTGTACTTGACTTGACATGAGGGATCCGCTCGACGACCATGTATAGTAAGCCGTTTTTTTTGCCCAAAGAAAATGACCATGTAAAGTAAGGCGTTTTTTTTAGCCCCCCCCCCCAAAAAAAACCGACCATGTATCGTAAGGAGTTTTTTTGCCCCCAAAAAACAACCCTAACCTTAATTTTAAACCTTACTTTCAAACCCTACTTTGAAGCCCGAGTTTGAAAGCCTAACCCTTGTTTTAAACCCTACTTTGAGAACCCCAAGCCTTGTTCATACCTTAAGTTTGCACGTTCTCCCCCTGCCTGCCTGCGTGGCTTTTCTCCGGGTACTCCGGTTTCCTCCCACATTCCAAACATATTCTTGGCAGGTTAACGTAACACTCGAAATTGCCCTTAGGTGTGAAATATGGGTTTTTTTTTGTTTGTTTTTTTCAGTGGAAACCTTTTCCCTTTCCAACAGGTTTTCATTCCAGCCCCACGACATGCATCAGTTACACCAAGTGTTCTCGATTGACCTCATAGGAAACCGCTGCACTTACTTACGTGTCGGGGGGGTGGGGGGGGGGAACCGACGGCGGAAGGGAACGACACCAGGTAGACGGCAAAGACCGCCAAGAGTCAAGTGCGAGATTGCGGCTGCAAACTCATTTCGCCCAAAAAGAGAAAAATGTCACAAAGCATCAAAGACACAAAAGCCGATGGGGGGGCGTGGCCAAAATGCTCTTTATTGCGGGCACGTGAGCTATTCAAGGACGTTCCATACCAACCTTCGGTCCTGGTCCATCCCGAGTGAACACTGAGCACTGAAAATGTGCAAAAGGGTGTTCACTTGTATTCATTGTTGCACCACAAACATGATTAGCGTCTTAGCTAGTCTGCTCGCTGAGCCGCAGTACAACAACTGAACTGTGACTTTTTCGCTGTGTAAAAGAGACTTTAATTAGTTTGGTGGGGGGGGGGGTTGATGAAAAAGGTACACAGGCAAGTGTTTGGGAGCCATTTGCGCAAGATAAACAACACAAAGGGGAGCGCGATCAGCTTCCTTCTTGGCGACCCGCAAGCATCTTGCGGGTCCAGTCCGGCCAAAAAATGTTTGGTTGACTCCCCGGGAAGACGCGCGCGCACCTCGACAATGTCGCCTTCATCTCCACGGCAACGGCACGGTCTATGGCGGCACCGTTCCGAGAATTGCGTCCTGAAAAGCAAATGACGAAGGTTTTCCCAATTCCTGTTGCCTAGGCGACGCGTGGTGAGCCAGCCGCTAACAAACGACAGAAGGGCTTGGCAACGTTTAATTTGGAAGGAAAAGTTACAGCTGAACCTACAGACATTTATTTTTTTCTTCCGATTATAATTTATTTAGCATTCTTTAATCAATGATCTAATAAAATACTGCAAAATTTGTGTCTGCGAATATATTTATTTTACACTTTTTGTTGAATAATTACAATCAATACATTAACCGATGACCGAATTAGAGTCGCGAAAAATAAATACATGTCAAATATGCAAAGGTTCATTTTAAAAATCCAACATTTTTTTCCCCCCCTCCATGTTTTGATCTTAAAACAAAGGAACCACCTTACTGATCAAAAAAAAACGCTCACTATTTTTTGTTATTTACAACGAATCAATTGATCAACTTTGTGATCAGATGACGGAATACAAAAGAATGAACGGCGTGTTTGAAACAAAAAAAAAAGCGGTTGGGGAACGATGGCTAATTCAATCCAAGAAAGATTTACAAATCGCCGTCTGGCTATTGCTCGATATTGATTTTTTTTTTTTTTTTTTTTTTTTTTTTTTTTTTTTTGCCAAGTCGGCACTGCAAACCGCAATCTGTTCTCAGCTGCATGCCTCTCCTGCCAAAATCAAAGTGAAACCGATGCACGCGAATGATCGGTGGGCCCCAATTACAGGAGGGAGGAGGCCCGCGGGCCACACTTTGCCCACCCTACCCCTAAGTTGGACTACAGTACTCGTATTATTATTGTGATCATCATCAGTATTATCGGCGGCTCGTTTGCGTTATTGCGCAGCTGTCCAACTCGGGGCGGGGGGGGCGGTTCCTTGTCAGCTTCGGTGGATGTTACGACTTGATTCGTTCAGAAGAACACCGCCTCTCACGCTGAAAAAAACAAAACAAAACTTCAAGACAACCCAAAGAAGTCAATCATCAATAAATGTCCAATTTTCAAGCCGTGACCTTGAAGCCGTTTCAAACTTTTGTCGCCTTTTTCCCAACATGCACGTCTTACATTTGTCTCTGAAAGGTCACCTTGTACTTTTAAAGTTTAAAAAGCTCCACCAAAGTCTCAACGCGATGCTCGGAGAGTTGCGGTCTTTCCTCGAGTTGCCCGATAAAATATTCCCCCACCGGTTGGTGAATGCTCGGCAGTCACTCTCTGTCGCCGTCCTCGCTGCTCCCTGCCGAGCAAACACAGTCAGACATTTGTTTGTTTAGGTCAGGGGTGCCCCAAGTTCGCTACTCGAGAGCCCCCGACCCATACCCAGACGGTTTTCGATGTCTCCCCCCCCCCATCGCACCTGATTCAAACCGATCAGGCCGGAGCAGGGAGACGCGAAGCTCTACCCTTCCTCACCTCCCGCCGAGTCCATATCCGAGTCGGAGATGTGCGTGATGGAGAAGCGGGACACGACGGAGGGCGACACGGTGAAGCGGGAGAACCGGGCGGTCGACTTGGTCCCCTCGGGAGCGCCGAGGGGCGGCGGGTCGGAGGCGGCCGAGGACGTCGGCAGCGGCAACAGGGGGAAGTCGTCCTCCCACTCGAAGCCTGCGCCTGAAAGAAGAAATGCTGAGGAACGTCCTCCGGGAAAAGTCCCCACTTGGGAAGGTCACCGCGCTCACTCTCTTCGGAGATATTCCCGTCAGAGGAGTCGTCAGACGCGCTGACCCTCTCGGGGGATTTGCCGGCTGAGCTCTCGACGGCCAAAGGGAACCCGTGTGCAGTCAGCTCCTTGGTGGGACTCTCCTGGAACAACAAGGTGTCACGTTACGGAACGCCAGGTGACAAACGCAAGTCATCATTAAGTCTCGAATGAGCGCCTTCCATCTGCTGCTAATTCCTGCTCACCTGATCAAAGAGATAGATCGTAACATCATCGAAGAAGGACACGTTCCTCTTCTTGCGTTCCAGCTCCTCGTGGAGCGACAGGACGGCGGGCGTCTTGAGGAGGCCTCGCAGCGTGTGGGCGTGGCTGTCGTCGCTCACCACGATGGGCACCGGGTGGCACTCATCCTCGCTCTCCTCCTCCTCCTCCTCCTCCCGGACGCCGAAGGTGCGCGGCTCCTCATCCGACACGTCGCTGTCGTCCGAGTCGCCGTCCGCCGCGTCCGCCTCGCCGCCGTCCGGAGGAGAACCGCCGCTTTCTGCCGGAGCCGGCTGAGGCGGCGGCGAAGACAAAGACGACCTTCTGGAATTGGCGGCGTGCTGCAAGGCCACCTCGTCTTTGGGTAAGATGTGCGGCACCTCCGGCCCGAAAGCTTTGTCCTGAACTGGCCCCTTTTTTCCTTGCTCCCGCGCTAACTTCTGTTTCCCATTCAGGGCATCGAGAGCCTCCTCCATGGCCCCGACGACCTCTGCCGCCCAGTCTTCAAGGGACGAGTTCTCCTCCTGGGAGGGCCATTCATCCAGGCCCCCTTCTGCCGTTGAACCATCCAACGATTCATCATGGGGACAGTCTTCGGTTCGGTACGTTGCGCTTGGTTCTGGCGAACAATCCTCCCCTCGTGTGCTTCCCGGAGCCCTCACAGTGTCTGTCGGTGGTTCTTCATCATCGCAACTATCTTCCGTTTGCTGCCCTTCCTCCTGCTCATTCCTCACCTGCCGCTCATTCTCGTAGTCGGAGAAGTAGGCCGAGTCCCGGTACGGCGTCTCTTGGCTCAGCGGTGAGAAGGTGTGCTCGCACGACTTCAGCGGCGGCTCTTCGCAAGATGCTTCGTCCTTCGGGGCAGCGACGACGCCGCCGCCGTCCTCCGTCGGGCTCGCGCGGACCGCTGGCTGAGGCACATCTTGGTCTTTGGCTTCGTGAGGTTCTTTTGGGACAAACTCGGGACTTTCATAATTTTCCGTGTCATAGCCGCTGTCCATGGCTTTGGGGGAGCAGGAAGGGCGCGAGGTGGTGGCGGAGCCCTCACGAGACCCGGCAACGGGTAGCAGATCCATGGACTCGATGGAATCTGGCGTTCCTCCCTGCTTCTGAAGCGACTTGAAGGCGGGGGAAGCGCTCAGCTCAGCCGACTCCTCGGCAAAGATCCCTGAAGTGATATCAGTGATGTCATCCGTGAAGTCATCGCCTTTGTTGTCGCTGCAGTCCAGGATGTCCGTGAGGCTGACGCTGGAACCGCCCCGGTCCAAACCGCTGTCTCCCGCTTGACTGGTCTCTGACTGCGGATCCGTCAGGACCGCCGTCACGTGCTCGTTATCCGCAGGCGGCGGAAGACTTCGGGTCGTCTCTTCCGTGGCGGGCTTGGTCACGAGAGGATGTTCCGCGATGACGTCTCGCTTCGTCGCTGCTTCCGCTCTCAGATCCGCACGTGGATCCTTGCCGCCGTCGGGCTCGATCGGGGCAGGTTTGGACACAACCGGGCCTCCTGGTGCCGGCGAGAGGTTCATCAGCTCGTCCCTGCTCGGGATGTCCATGACTTTGTTGTCGCGGCCGTAGTGGTTACTCACCAGCGAGCCCGTGAGCGGGTCAACAAAGTGCGGGTAGCAGCACTCCCTCGGCACCACGTGGGTGTCACTCTGGTGGCACGAGCAGGCCAGAGCGTCGCAGCGGTCCGGCGACACAACGGGGGGTCGTCGACTCCGCCAGCTGCCGTTGTCTTTAGCCCGGCGCGGTTCCGGGTAGGCGACGCCCTTTGGCAGGCTGTGGTATTGCAGGCCGAGCTCCTCCGGCCAAGAGTCTTCGATGTCCGTGCTCGGCATGGTGTAGTGAAAGTCCACGTACGGATCCTGTCCGCGACTCTGACTCGCTCGTCTCTGGTGGCCGACGCTTCTGTGGCGATGTTTGGAAGGCCAAGTGTTGCACGTGTGCTTCTCGATGAAGATGTCCTCCTCTTCATCCTCCGCCGAATCGCTCTCCTTGCGCCCCACGAAGAGGGCCCGCTCGGTCTCCATGTTAATGCTGACCGAGCCGTGCCTGCTGCTGTGACTCGGCATGGTTTTCCTCAGGGAGCCCATCATGTCGTAGTAGCCCCCGGTCACGGTCTTGCCGATGATGGAGGAGTGGCTTGGGTCCGGGTCCAGGTATGAGCCTCTGTAGACCTGTTCGGACGGACGATGGAGGGACTTGGGTACTCCCGCCGGGTTCTCCAGCTCGCCCAATGCCTGACGAAGGCTCCTTGACCCCCAACTTTCTGGAAGATGCTCCGTGGCGAGCCCTCCTCCCATCAGATAGTGGTCCAAGTCCACAGGCGGGGAGTTCTCGTAATAGTAACCTCCATCTCGGTCTTTGTAGGACACATAGTGACTTGTCTCCCAGGGGCGTAGGGGGCTGTTGTCACAGACCTGTCCTAAGAGGGGCTCCATTGTTAGGGAGACGGCAGGACTCGAGTCATTGGAGTCGTAAACGTCGACGTTGTGGATATCGGCTGACCAGTAGGCGTCGCAGTTCTTAGCTTGTGACGGACAGACCATGCAGTCCCCCGAGTCGGCGCTCCCGGTAAGGAAGCTTCCGCTGCTCTGGTAGTCTGGGCTGTAGGAGCACATGGTGTAGTCGGGCTCGATGTTACGGTCTACCGGTTCTTCGATGCGGACATAGAATTCGCTGTTGACCGATGGGCTGTGGGCACCGAAGACGGGAAGGACGCCTGGAGCATGCGTGTGTTTTGGCTGGTAGTAAGGTGGAGAAAGGATGCGGTTCAGACTCTCCAAGGGGCAGCCTCCCACAATGCCCGCCGGAGGATAAACGGCTTCGGGACGGTTGATGTGACCGAGGGCACTTGAGGAGTCCGGGCCTCTGTAGGACTCTTCCGCCCTGGCCTGCTCCCACCTGTACTCAAAGTTCAGGCCGTGGCTGGTCTCGGTGATGGTCAAAACGTCATCCCCGGACTCCGAGTGGTAGCCGTCGGCGGGTGAGAACCGCTGGAGCAGAGGGAAAGACGACAAAGTGGACGAAGGCCGCTCATGAGTCGTCGGTGCGGGACCGCGATGGATCCCGTGTCCGGCGCTGGGGCGCATGGAGTTCCAGCGCCTCTCAAAGTCCTCCTCGGCCTCACTGGCACCCTTAGCGCACAGGTAGCTCAACAGCAAGTGAACTTCTTCGGCGTTGGGCCTCTGATCAGGCGGGAGCCAGCAGAACTGCATCACCTCGTACCTGAAAGTCACCCGGCGATCGTTACCAGTCGGGCAGAGATAACCGCGGCGCATGCTTTTGAGCGTTTGTGTCGAACCAGCGTTCAGCCAGAGGAACTTGGAGTACGGGCTTGGCCAGTCGCAGCTGCTGCTCCCTCACAGCGTAGGACAAAACTTGCCGGTCGGAGTAAAGGCTGTAGGGTTGCTTTCCCAGCTCCAGCAACTCCCAGATGGTCACACCCAGAGACCTGACAGTCCAGAGGTGGGACGACGTCACGTAAACGCAACTCATGGTGAAGCCGAGGTGTTTTCCGAGTTACTCACCAGATGTTACTCGGCCGCGTCTGCTTGGCCACCAGCAGGTTTCCGTGCACGTCGTCCACCAGCTCAGGAGCGATCCAGCGAAGCGGCACGTACGTCTGGTCGGGGGTGACCATGTAGTCGTCCTGACGGGAATGCAGAGTGAATTTGAAATCTCTCCCGATGACCGCTTTGGATTGTCCGATGATCCTACCTTGTACTTGGTGTGGGACAGGCCGTAGTCGCCCACTTTCACGGTGAGGTCAGCGGTCAGCAGGCAGTTCCTCAAAGCCAGGTCGCTGTAAATCCCGATGGCGGCGTACTTAGAGACGTCATACGTGTCGGCAAAGGATGCATTTGTGGCAGGCCTTATTGTCCTTTTCAAGCTCATATTGGCATTCTATTCGATTAATATTCACCCAAAATCTTAAATGCAATTAACTTATCAATCTCACTTCTTAAGCAGAGTCGATTTTCATTTGTTCTAACGGACCTTTTCCCATCCTGGTCTTTTCAGGTCCAGAACACTACCAATAATGGCAAACAATTTTTCTCAAGGGTGTTCGCGGCTCAAAAGTGCCACCCATATTATAGAAATACAATCCACTCAGCACACTCAGAAAAACAGCGATGACCCTAAACTCGGGTGCGTCCCCAAGCTACCGAATTACTACACAAACAAGACTGAGTCATGAATTCCGTCCCACCCTGAAGATATTGACGTGATGACATTCTTGAGTGGACCTGCAGAGGGCGCAGCTGCTGCTGCTGCTGCTGGCACGAGGGTCCACCGCCTGCAACAAAATCACTGATGCTGGAGTCTTTGAGTAACACTCAGTCAGCACCAGGATGTTGTTACAGGAAGCGGCCATTTGCAAGACAAGAATAACTACATGTTGCGTGGCCAGAAGGCTGGATGGACGGCTGGTTAGTTGGATGCTTGCGGTACCTGTGAGTGAAGTTATGCGCGTGGAGGTGCTTGAGTCCTGAAGCGATGTCGCAAGCCATCCTCTGGAGGATGAGCGGCTCGGGGGCGCCCACGCCGTCCGTGCACTTGCTGCTCCTCAGGTACGCTTTCACGTCGCCCTGGTAATGCAACACACCGCCATGTCGTACCACCTATGGCCACTAGGGGGGGGGCACTGTGGTCATCAGAAGAACAACGCCGCCACTCACCAGCGGACAAAACTCCATGACCAGCAGGAAGGGCGCGACGTCGGTGCACTGGGCCAGACACTGCAGAAGAGCCGAATGCTGCAGCACCCTGCGGACCAGGAAGAGACGCGCCGCGCCGCAAGTGACGTCACTCGGCGGCAACCGTCGAGTGTGTCAAAAGACGAGCGGAGGTATACCGGTAGGGTTGCGCTTCCTCCAGGAAGCGCATTTGTTCCTTGATGCTGGCGCTGGCCTTCAGCTCCTTGACCACCACCTGATTGGTCCTCAGGTTTTCATTCACCTCCCCCAGAAGAACCTGCCACATGGACACATGGACACAGATGCAGCAGGAGGACACACAGGTTGACACAAGGTCGTTTGGAATGGGTGGGAGTACATACCCAGTCATGAAGATAACGTAGATGTTGATGAATGTGGAAAACGTGGATGGAAAGAAGAAGATGTTATCTGCTTGTAAACATTAGAGAGACGTCATGACTAGAATTGCAAAGAGGTTCCATGGGGGGGGGGGGGCGGTTCCAAGATTTTATTTATTTTTTCTTCAACATACTGGCACTTTGCAACCGTAGTCACGACGACCGGAACGTGAGCACCATGACGGGTGGCCTTACCTTCCCGAACCAGCCGCTGCCGATCTCTTTCAGGTAGAGCAGACTCTGGCGGCTCAGGTTGGACCATTTCAGGTGGTGCGCTGCGAGGGGAGAGAGCAGTCCGGGTGAGAGTCAATCAAATGGCACACAGACAACATCAGGTTTTAAAAGTATCCACTGAAGAACATCTCAGAACTCCCAAGGTCAGCTCCCCCCTGCCAGTGGCGCCGGTCTGTCTGACTCCGTAATGCATCGCAGTCGGCGTCCTTGACCAGAAACTTGCTCCGGCTCACCCAGTCGTTCCCGTCCATCCGTCTTTCACTGTGGGTGGTGCCGCAGACAAACGGACCTTTGTGGCCTAACCCTCCCACCCCCCACAAAAAGAAGAGCACACAGGCCAGCCACTGTTCATACTGGACATGGCGTCACCCTCCCCACGCTGCTCATTCCTGACAGCCACCCGAATCCCTGTTTGGAATTGGCAACTTTTGGCCCCCACTGCCTGGCACCAGTTAGTGTGTGCGTGCGTGCGAATGGTTGCGAGTGTGTTTTTTGAGGGTTGCCATCTTGTTGTTGTTGTTGTTGTTGTTGTTGTTGTGTTGGGTGCGCTGCTCCTAATCAATACTGGCGTCGGTGCTCTAAGCCGCCTGCCGCCTCCAACCAGCCTGCGAGCCAGGAAGTCATAAACGGGATGCACGGATCCTCGCGTCCAAATGGATCCACCGTTGCTATTAGGATCGGCCGGCCATTATCCCGTGTGAGTGTTTGTTTGTTTTTTTTTTTTTTGTGCGTCTGCCTGAGCTGAGGTGCCTCAGAAATTCCTTCCAGCCAAGTCGGGTACTAAGTTGTCCGTGTATGGAATGACCGGGACGTATGACGAAAACAACCTTGACACATGAGTAGAAGGACCGGGGTGTGCTCGTAGGAGTCGGGAACAAACGCGTGCAACGACAGAGGCAAAATTGTGCTTCCCGTGGAACTGCGGCATGTGCGTTCCATTTGCTTTCCTGCGAGAATGAGGCAGCAGCTGCGCGAAAGGCGCGACCGCCAAGATCAGACCGGCTCTCACGCCCCGAGGGTCTCCCGAGGAGACGCGCCCACTTGCAACTTCAGACGAGGAAGAAAACGTGCGTTCGTGTGTGTGTGTTAATGTGCACATTTGTCCATTTGCGCGCATGCAACATGTCACCTGCAAGTGCTGTGTACTCCAGCTCACCCGGTGGCGCCGCCCTTCTGGCGAGGGGCAGTGCCACCTCGCCGAGGGGCAGGACATACACATCCGGGCTGCCCTGTGAGACCGGCGAGGCCGGCGTGAAGGCATGCGTGTGGTCCGCCTCGCCATCAGGAAGGTTGCGAAACTCCTGAAACGACAACACACACGTCAAGTTTTACTGGTTCAAGTTTTTGGGGATCTCGCAGGCCGCCGCCGCGTGAGCGTCCAACGCCAAACCCGAGTCGGGAGGCCGCACAGGAAGTTGCAGGGAAAAACTCAGCCAGGTCCCACAAGACCTGAAGAATGTGACCTGACAACACCCCAAAAACACACGCACACACATTTGGATGCTTTTTTCAAAAAATTCTCCTCCTCATCATAAATTTATCTCCTTTTCCTCCTCCTCTTCTGCTTCTTCACTCTCTCAGCCCTTTCTCCTCCTCCTCCTCCCCTTTCTTGTTCTTCCTCTTGTGACCCTGACACGTTCACACGCTCCGCTCGCCCTTCGCACATGTGCTCGCTCTCTCTCTTCGTACTCTTAACACAAACGAGGGCATGCATGAGAATAGGATGTGCATGAGAGGAGGACAAATATATATATGTGTGTGTGTGTGTGTGTGTGTGTGTGTGTGTGTGTGTGTGTCCACACCCATGTGAGATTGTGCATATGGATTTATTCCATTTGCTTAGAAAGTATCACAAATAGTGTGACACAGACACACACACACACACATACACACACACACACGGCCAATAAACATAAGCAGACATACGTTAAGAGCATCAAAACCAAGTGAAGGAGGTTCCGACGTGTGACGAAGTGACTTACCTTCCTCGGATGACCACATTCACACTGTCACACACACACACACAAATGCAGAGTCGGTGGCGTCCAACGTCGGAGTCTGGAGAGGATGAAGCAGATGAAGCGGACAGCAGAGCATGTAAGGAAGGCTGCGATGGACGCAAGGGCGGAAGGAGGAGGAGCAAAGAGGTCGGGGGTCGCCTCGCTCCCCCGCCCCCTCCCCGGGGGAGAAGAAAAATGGGGGAGAGGCCGCGGGTTGGTGGGGGTCCACATAGTGTACTGGTGACATCACCGGCAGAACACACCCGCCAATGCACATCTGGTCAGCGCGCACACACACATTAACAGACAGAGACACACTAACACAACTTGGGGCGCACAAAAAGACACACACACACAGGACACAAACATACACACACAAGAACTTGCATGTACAGTAACACACATGAAACAAACGGGAAATCACGCGCACACACGGCGACGTACAAACGGACAGACTGACACCAGCAGAAACCGTAACTAGTTAGTGCTGGTTAGTGCCAGTTAGTGTGTGCGCGGTGGAGTTGACCTTGAATCGGGCGCTGCGGGTCTTCTTGCAGCACAGGCAGGTCAGCAGGACCAACAGTAGGCCGACCACGCCCGACACCCACGCCAGTGCCGCCGAGGCCCACGACGGCTCCGCCCACTCGCCGACACCTGCGGGATGAGACAGGAATCAGGACAACGCACGCACTCCCGACGCTCTCGTTCAGCCGCAGGTAACGCCAAGCTTCTAGTGTACGTGTGGGGG